AGCAGCACCGCACTTCTATTGGACGCATACAGCGGATTTAGCTTTGTGCTTGCTGTTATTGGTCGCGTTAAGCAGACTCAACTATTGCGGAGTAGATCCGTGAACGCTCGCTGCTATTGGATAATCTAAAAGTAATACACCAATAACAGCGAGTGCTCACTTATAAGAAAGAAGATGGAGTGTTTATTCTCCATTCTCCATGATTTTTCATCCATGCTTTTGTTATGTGTGTTATGTTTGTGTAATATCACAGTATTTTACGAGTGTTAAAATACAATATTAAATTAATTACTTGTCAATATTCATGACAATATTGGAGTTATGGATGTGGATCTGCTCAGACCTGGCACCGTGCCGATCTCGCCAGATACGATACTGTGGTTTGAGTTTTTGCTGAACCCTTCGTTGCTGCAGAAACACTTGTCAAAACCTTTCCCGGGTAAACAATTGTACCGTATAATGCTAATCGCATGGAATCGAAATATTTTAGAAATAATGTTAGAATTATATTATTTCTGAAATATTTGGTTGATAGAAATGTCTCTATTAATAATTTATTTAATAACTATTATATTTTAATATTTTAATATTAAATAATGTTGAATGATATTCACATATACAATTGTATATTTTATATATATTTGAAACATTTGTGATTTATTTAAGTAACATTAAATAAATAATATTAATTAATAATAATAATAATATTTTACATTAAATGAAACTATAGACATATGTATGTATATTATGATTTTTAGATCCATCGCCTACGGATCTGATAATAAAATTTATGACTATTAATTCTGATCAAAAAGAAACAGAGTCAAAAGCAATTGATGTAGAATCAAATGATGTAAAGTCCAATGGTACAAACAAATGGACTCACAGAAATTTAGCATTAAAGATACTTTCTTTGAAAGTAGCGGCTTACCTCAAATGGGACTTGGATGTGCTAGAAAAGAAGCTACCTTTGCCGATACAGTTGACATTATTGCAAGATCTGTTTTATATTACTGCAGATGTTGCAGTAGAAATTCCTACAATTCCAGAATTTTTTATAGAAACAGCTTCTGACCAGCTTCTGTTTACATTGGTTTTATATTATAGATGGCATCTAAGAGCGATTATTTGTAGAGCTCTCAGCAATAAACAACCAAAACAACAATTACTTCACATGTAAGTTTTATATTTCTTTTAAAATATATTATTGTAATACTTTGAAATAATTTTAATTTATTACGAACTAAAATAAAAAAATATTACTGCATATTAGACCAGGTACTCAGGAATCAACATATGTACCTCCTGGTATAGTAGATGATATTATTAGGAAATTAGAAACGCACATACCAAATAGTGTAAGTGCCCTAAATGATATTTTACAAATGACCGATATAAAGCCAAAGGTTTTGTCTTTTGATACTTTTCAAATGCTGACAGAGGATAGTATGGAGATCAAACAAAATTGGGAAAATATGTACTTGGTAAACATAGATGAGTTTAAATGTCAGGTATGAGAATTGCAAGAGCTGGATATTATTATCTTTGATGTTGAGAGAAAATAATGAAATAAATTATTTTTTAGATACATTATGATCTCGCAATGTTTCATTTATTGAGAGAAGATTATCAAGAGGCTAAACGCCACATTAAACAGGCAAAAGAGTTGTATAGTAATTTTAATCCAGCAGAAAAATTAACGTATTGTAAAGTGCAGAAAGAATTTTTAGATGGCTGTTGTTTAGCATGTGAAGTACCACTAGAAGAAGTCACGCTTAGTCTTACGCAGCGTTTACACGCTTCTATCAAAGATCAATACACTGTAGGTATATTTTTATGCATTTATCACGTATATACTTTTGAATAATGTATATTCATGATACATGCAAAATCTGCAGAATATATTGCAGATTTTGCAAGCAGATAATGTTTTCAGGGAGATACCACAAGTTTATAGAGATAATTTGGAGCTGGATGTGCAAGGTGGATTAGTTAACAGAAAATTTGTAGTCGCCCGCGATCTTTTGTTGCAAATAGAGTGCTTGAATTTGGTTAGAAAAATTCTTGATGATAGTATAATCTTGGGTGACTACATAACTGAAATTAAGGCATCTGGTACGAAGGGTCTAGATGTTTTATTCTGGGTAAAATAGCTTTTATTTATATTTTTGAATATGTAATACTTCTCCATTAAATTTTCTGATTACTGGCAAAATAATTTTTTTCTTTTAAATGGTTGAAAATAAAAGTTTCTGGATTTTTTTTATTATATATATTCCATAAAATATTTTTCTTTACTTTTTTTTTAGAATATATTAATTTAATA